TTGGATCCAATAGAAGTAGTGGTAGTAAATTTTAAATTAAGTCTGTAGCTGCAAGTGGCAAACATTTAATAATGTGAACAAAATTTATTCTTGTTCCTTTCCCAGAATATCTCAACTTGACAATGACTGACCCTTGAGTCGACGTTCAAAAATTCCAACTTACAAAGGCAAAATCAAAGGGCGATCTTGAACTTTACAAAAGGATTTTTCTTGGTTTCCCTGGAGTGGTTAACTACTATAAACCGAAAAACCAAACCCGTTGCCGTCCAGTTGATTCTGACTCATAGTGACCCTATAGGATGGAGTAAAACTGCCCCATAGGGTTTCTAAGTAGAGGCTGGTAGATTCAAACTGCTGACCTTTTTGGTTAGCAGTCGAACGTTTAACCACTGTGCCACCAGGGCTCTTTAATTACTATGGTTGTTTACAAACTTGTAATTATTTGACAAATACTCTCCCTGGTTAGATAATGTAAAGCTGAACTCTTATTATGACAGTGCTGACTAAAAACAAACGAAAAATTAACAACAGCAAAGATATTGGTAAAGCCACCTATGAAGTTACAATGCAATTTATTGGGAACTGTGATTCTATTTATCAAAATAACGTACATAGTTTTCAAAAACCCAGCTACTTTATACTGTGAGGTTTATAGATATTCTATTTCCATGCAATCAAGTGTCTATGAATTAAAAATAAAATAAAATAATTGATTTTCAAACATTAATGTATATTCAGTTCACATATATGGAAATTTAAATGAAAAACAATGAGGACATGTTTTGAAACCACTATAATGCTGGACTCTGCTTTTAAAACTAATGGTGGCATGTGGATTTTTTAAATAGCTTTTCTGTGTTGGTAACTACCAAGCTAACTCATTTAGCAATACACATGCTGATATATTCAGACATTTGGATCTTTGACTAACAGAGAAACTTCCCAAAATAAACTGTTTTAGTATTATGTTTATTTTAAGTCATATGCATGCCTGGAACAATTTGGCAATTATTTACTTTTGAATAATCAGACATATCTAAAGTTTTTGGTTCACCAGGCAATTGAGGACACATCCTGGATACAATTAGAAAAAAACGTGGAGGACAAAGACCTACATGAAGACCTGCCAAAAAGAGCCGTGAAAAACAATAAACGTCCTAAGACAAAAAAGTGGGGGGAAGGGAAGAGCAGAGGAAGAGCTCATCTAACAAAGATGAACAAACTCGAATGCTTAGCAGAATTTTAAAATAAGCCAATTGTCACGTTTTGAGCTTTCACTGAATATGTAGATTAGGTCTGCTTTTCCACAATTTGTCCTAATTTTAAGAGAAACATGAAGTGCAAAATAAAAAGCAACAAAAAGCTACTGCTGGAAAAACAAGCCTTTGTCAATGTGTATGCTTAGATGTACCCCAGATCATGGAGGGTAGGAGGGGGTTGATGTGGTAAAGATTGGCAGACTGACATACAGCACTTTGACACTTAAGTCAGGAGACTGGGTTTCTAGCTGCCTTTCCTTAATCCTTGTATGAGTTACAGGTTTCCCCTGCTATCTGAAAGCAGATAGCCTTTAGTAACAAAGCTTTAGTAAGCCAAAATGGCATAAATCGAAGAAATAATTACCAATAATTGACATGGGAAGATTTTTTTAGCATTCCCAGACCCAAAAAATAATGTATCCAATCATACCAAATAACACATAAAAGTCTTAGGAGATCTCTGGCTTTTCTGACACCTTAGGACACATTTTGCTAATGGATGCACAAAATAAATTGAGATAAAGCACACACACAGTCCGAAGCTATGGTGGCTTGCTGCTGAGAAACTGAGTGTAGTTTCCGGCGAAGGAGCTTGGCGAGGCCACTCTCGCTGGTCGAGGTGCGCACTGCCTCTTTAACGGCTCACTGCAAAACAAGTGCTGAACGCTATGTCTGCTTTTCGACTTTATTCGTAAAAGTGAAAATCCTCTTTGGATTTATTTCGGTTATCGAAAACAGATACTAACCTAGGTTTTTCGTAAAAGCAAAGTTGGCATAAAGCAAGCTTTCAAAAAACGGGGGATACGGTACTAGTGATTGTTCTTGGGCTTCAGTTTTCTTATCTAGAATTTAAAGCCTATTAAAATAGTCTCTGAGGTTCTTTTTGTGTTATCTATGTAATACATCCCTTTTTTCCTTAGCAACATTTGAAGAACTATAGCTACTCTGCCAGGAATTTGGATTACCTACTGTAAGGTGGCACGAACAGTTTGCCCTTGGCTAGTAACTGAAAGGTTGGCAGTTTGAATCCACACAGTGGCATTCTGTGGAAGAAAGACTTGGTGATCTACTTCTGTAAGAATACAGCCCATGAAAACCCTGTAGAGCACAGTTCTACTTTGACACACATGGGGTCGCCATGAGTCAGAGTCAACTGGACAGCAACGAAAACTGTGCTTCTCCTTGGCGCATTATTTTTAGGCCATCATTTAGGCCCACAAAGTGCCAGGAGTATTAAGTATAGCTACACTGTCATTTGTTGTACCAAAACTGATACAAATAATTCATTAAATTTGGCGATTTTCAATTTTTTTAAGAAAACAAAACCTTTGCTTTTTCTACTACCTAACTGCCTAATTGTCATTGTCCTTTGTACTCTTACTACTTACATTGTACAAATGAAAAAAGTTCTCAGGTTATTAAACTTTGCAAGTGATGGATTCCAATGACTTGGAAAATAAATAGCATGAAATTTTTACTATGGGTTTTTTGGTGGCATTTCAAAGAAAAAGAATATACACTGTGGTCACACCCGAAAAACCAAACCCGTTGCTGTTGAGTCGATTTGGACTCATAGCGACCCTATTGGACAGAGTAGAACTACCCCACAGCATTTCCAAGGAGGGTGGATTCAAACTGCTGACCTTTTGGTTAGCAGCTGAGCTCTTAACCACTGTGCCACCAGGCAGTCATATAAAGACTGTACCTGTAAGAAATGAATCAATGTTCTAAACAAGCTGTTATTGAATCAGAAAATTCTGAAGTTACCCACCACTCTGCAAAGGATGAGCCTATAATTTGAATGAGCAAGTGTTTGTTTCAGAAGCAGGAAGAAACAAATTACAATTTAATTAAATTTCAAAATGTAACTTGAATGCTTTCGAAAGAGAGGAAGGGAAGCAAATAAAAGGACATAAAATCAATTAATTCTGTCCCCCACAGATTGTTCAATCAAAAATCTGGAATTACACTGCCAAGCACTTACTAAGTGTCCATCCTGCTCTATAAATAACTGAATCTAGACATGACTCCTAGTATCAAACAGCCTTTACAAAATGGTCTTTCACTACCTGGAGGATGTGTGTGTGTGTGTGTGTGTGTGTGTGAGAAAGAGAGAGAGAGAGAGAAGATATCAAGGTTACCAGGTGAGCCCAACACCCCATTACCTGGTTACCTAACCATAAGTAATATTTTACAAAACAAAAAATATTCAATTGTGGTAAGTATACAAGTGAGAGGCAGAATGCTGGAACTGAATGAACAGAGGGCGGCTATCAACTGGAAACAACTGTAACTTATCTAGGGTGTTGTGGACTGTTTACCCAAAAGAAAACAGGGCGCCTCGTCTAATGTTTTTACAAGAACATTTTCTGAATGGAAGCCTTCTGTTGTGATCATTAAAGAATACCTCCTTTTATTTTTCAGGGTTGAGGGAAGGATATGTATCTTAAGATGCCCAACACTAGGATGAAAGCAGAAAACCAAAATCCAGCCTACATTTTTTTCCCAAACAGCTGGCACCTTCCCATATTGCAGACATCTAAAATACTGACTGACGTTTAAAAATGGATCTAGTTGTTAGTTTACACGGAGATAGCAAGAAGGAAACATATTCAAAGATTAAATAGAGTTGCAGAGAAAGATTGAAGCATGGATTTCAGGACATTATAATTTCTGACCCATATGTTTGCTACTCAAAAGTAACATCTTCTGAAACTCAAAACAGGTGCGCTTTCATATTAAAATTCATGGCTTTGGATATAGCTGAGGTAAATATTTTACCCGTCCTTTGGCACCCTGCACATAAATTTTTTAAATAATTCAAACAACCTGCAGCTCGTCAGTGACCAAATAGAGCGCTGGTAAAAATAAAATATCTTACAGTTCTGCACCAGCTGGCTAAATTTAAACCCTGTATTATGTAATCTTAAAGTGTCCTTGCTTTTAGTCGGTGTCGTAAGAGATTCTGTTATAATGTCTCTCCAAAATCACTTCAGGTTCTAACATCTAAACACTTAAGGCACAACAGAACCAAATTAAGGTGTTCACAGGCAATCGAAGACAGAAAAAATCTATCTGAAGCAGTATAAAGGGCATGATACCTTTAAAGTAAAATCAGTCTTCTCTATTTAAGTTTGTAGTTACTATAATAAGGGTTGGCAGATCCAACTGCCAGTGCTTTTCTTAATTCTGCAAAACATGTAAGGACCTGATTCTTTAATTCTTACTCCAGCAATGCTCTCAGAGGAAATGAGACTATGGCTCGAGCAAGAAATACAAAATCAAACTAAGGTTTAGAGAAAGAACAATTTCATATATCTCCCTGAGAAAACTGCAACTGTTGAACATAATTTAAACTCTTTTCCCTCACCAAATTCTAAGAACTATAGCTTATATTTTCAAATATACTCACCAAATATATTATCCATTTATGCTCATAAAAGGCAAACTAATTTTATTTTCAGTGAGTGGAAATGTGATTTTAACTCATGACTGTCAAGTTTGGATCATTCTTCTTTAATGCTAAACAACGCTAAATATTTTGCAGAGATTAATCTATGAAGCTCACAAAAGGTTAATAATATAAAGCTATGCTAAATATTGTCTTAAAAATAAAATACAACTAAATATTGTTTATAACAACTACAATTTAACCTGTGATCTTCATTGATCTTAAGTGACCAGCAGGAGCATTTTACTATCTGTGAAACAAACACATATCAATGACTATACAGCACTTACCTTTTGTAATATTTAGATTTAACCTCAAGTGAGTAGAGATGTCCTGTATCTTTACAGATCTTCACAGGCTAGTTTCCTCCCTTATTTTATGTACAGCAAATTTCCCAGTCCCCTGAAAGCAACTGATGGAGTGGAGGCCAGCTCCACTGAAGGTTCTATCAAGCAAGTAGATGGGATGGCTGAATTTATTTTAGCCCCGTGTCTAAAGGATGCAACATGGCACCTATTTTTAGGAAGTGAGCTCTGTATAGGTGGGGCCTGAGTCAACCACTCTTTCCAGAAGTGTGTCTCTGAGGGCACTCTCCCTTGCAGTGCCCTCTGTAACGTATGCATGGCTCCAACATGTGTCCAGTCAATCAAACTCCCTTCTGCAGCCACAACCATGAAGACAACTCTCAATGCCTGAACAAACCCTAAAATTTAACCAGCAGGAGGGAGTAGAAGTTGGGATTAAAGTCTTTATAGTACATGCATTTGTTTTAATAATGTCAATCTATTAAGAGGCAAAGAATATGGAAAAAAAAGAATATAGAAAAGTTCCAGTTTATTCCGGTGGAATGATTACCTGGGTTCTCAAGAAGAGGAAATCCTTTTTATTTTAAAAAATGTTCCTAGGTATGCAAAACATTAGTTTGCTTTTTGAGGCTTCATTTATAAAATAAAACACTACTGTAGTTTTTGTTAAGTAAAGTAAGTGCTCTTGGTTAAAAAAAAAAAAAAAGAAAAGAAAAGGAGAGATGGAGGGAAGAAGCGGTGAGAAAGCAGAGCACACTTACTCTGATTCCTGGCCATTGATGTTAACTTCAATTATCTGGCACGAGGAAGAGCAAGCAGGGAAAGGGAGTCACCTCACACGCTCCTGAGAGAATCCAATTAAATGTCCTCTCATGCCACACTACTCACTCCGTACACACTACCAACCTGACCCGGAAGAAATTAGGGGAACCGAACTAGAATTAAGGAGCCCTGGTGGCGCAGTGGTTAAAGTAATCGACTGCTAACCGAAAGGTAGGCGATTTGAAACCACGGGGGGAGAAAGATGTGGCTGTCGGCTTCCATAGAGGTTTACAACCTTGGAAATCCTATGGAGTCACTACGAGTCAGAATCAACTCCATGGCAGTGGATTTTGGCTTTAGGGTGTTGCAATGGTTAAGCATTTAGCGGCTAACCAACAGCTTGTGGCTCCCAGAGGCTCCACTGGAGAAAGACCTAGCGATCTGCTCCTCTAAGGATTCCAAACCCACTGCCCTGGAGTAGATTCAGATTCATAGCGACCCTGTAGGAGAGAGCAGAACGGATCCATAGGGTTTCCAAGACCGTAAATCTTTATGGAAGCAGACTGCCTTATCTCTCTCCCTTGGAATGGCTGGTGGGTTCAAACCACCCACGTTTAGGTTAGCAGTGGAACACTTAACCAATAAGCAATGAGGGCTCCTTCCCATAGAGATTACAGCCTAGAAAACCCTATGGGGCAGCTCTACTCTGTCATATAGGGTCTCTGTCAGTCAGAATTGACTCGATGGCACACAACAACAAACTAGAATTGCACTTAGCTCTATAACACCAACAACTTAAGCATTCTAAATATAAACTATTCCGGTTTCCCTACTTTTCTCTCTTCTGTTAAATTCCTAGTGTGGTGTTAGTGTGTAACAAACTGGCCTCACAACAACCCCAAGTAAAGAAAGAGGAAATTGATCTTTGTCTTAAGAAAATACCTAATATACTATTTATTTCATAAAAAAATGCTTACCATTAAGCTATTTATCATATTATTTACTATTAAATATCAGTATCTACATTAAAATTTTCCATATATAATGCTAGCTTCTATTAAAAATAGGCCAAGATATGATATTCCTTCTTATTAACTTTAAGATAAAGTTTCCGAAAGGGTAATCCTGTATATTACTATGGACTTTAAAGAGTCAAAAGTCAGTGTAGTTCCAATATTTAAAGCTGTGCTGTCCAGTATGCTGTCTATTAGCCACATGTGGCCATTTCGATTTAAATTTCAATTGATTATAATTAAGTAAAATTAAAAATACAGTTCCGCAGTTGCAAAAGCCACCTTTCAAGTGCTCAATAGCCACATGTGTTTAGGGGCTACTGTACTAGAGAGCGCAGATATAGAACACTTCTACCACTGCAAAAAGTTCTGTTGGACAGTGCTGATTTAGAACACAGTATTTCAACATAGCTTTGACACTAAACTCTGGGCAAGTTTCATAAGTTTTCTAAGCCTTACTTTACTCATCTATGACTAAGTAGGCTAAGTTTAGCTACTTTAAATGGTCGTGGAAGATTAAATGAGTCAATGTATGTAAAATATTTAGTACAGGCTAAATCTAGAACATAATCTTTACTTATTAAATTATTATTATTATTACTATTATCCCCTTGCTATGTACATAAAAAATGGGCTTTAGAAGTAAAATCACAATAATTCAATTTAAGATAGGAGAAGATTGATCCTATAATAGTATGCAGTTAAATGTATTCTTGTATTTGTATGTTCATAATTGCCGATGATGTTTATGATGGTTTCATTGTTTTGAAATATTGTTATTTACTCAAAGATCTGAATTCTAGCTTCCTTGTCTTCTCTCCTAATTCAACAATCCCTTGCTTTCCATTGTAGTGATAGGTAAGTTTCACTCAAGATGACTTTTCTTTAAATTTTCTGTTTTTACTTCTCAGGAAGGAACTGTATTTGATATAAATTCCTTAAAATTATCTAAGCAAAGAGCATCTGTTTATGTTATCAAAGAAAATATTTTAATAAGCCACAGTAGGTGATAATATTGTTTTGTTGTTGTTAGCTGCCAGAGGATTGACCTCTGACCCATGGTGACGCCCATGTGTTACAGAGTAGCACTGTTTCACAAGATTTTCTTGGCTATAATCTTTATGGAAGCAGATCGCCAGGCTTTTCTTCTGTAGAGCTGCTGTGTGGGTTTGAACTGCCAGTCTTTGGGTTAGCAGCTGATCCCAAACCTCCTGCACCACTCAGGTGATAATAATGAAAATTATATATTACTTCCCAGGTAATTATAAGTTGAAAAATTATTTTTCACATTTTCTTATTATAAAGTTTTCAGTGTTTACAATAGTCTAAAAACCCAATGATTATAAATTGCTAAAATGAAAAAAAAGTGGATACAAAAAGAAATTTTGGTGGAGCATTATAAAATAATTGGTAATTGATTAAGCAATTAAGTACTAGAGCAATAAGTACTAGATTTATAGTAGCATGCATATGTTAACTAACCTAAGATCAAGCAATGATTTTCAGATATAGAACAAATTAGTTATCACACAAGTACTTTGATTCATTCATTTTAGTCATGAAGGTAATCATAATATGAGCACCTAGATTCTGACTATTCATTATTTCAGTTGGTTCGACACTGAATTGTACTCTTCATTTAACAGCACTCAAATCAATTACTTAATTTTCAATCGCTATGAAAATAAGGCTCATATAGGGTTGCTATGAGTCAGAATCAACTCAACGGCACACAACAACATGCAAATGAGATGGATGGATAGATGGATGGATGGAGGAATGGCAGATAGAAAGATCCACAAACTGATTTGTTGTATCAAAAAATCTTGGAAAACTTGAACTGAAAATTTCACTCCCTATTTAATTTATGAACATAGTTTAAATTATCTTCACAGTGCTTATATATTTCTAACTACTGTATTTTTAAACAAATAACACACCCTTCTGTGTTTGTTTGCCAACTGTGCCCTTTCCTGGGAGATATTTTCATAAGTGCACTATGCTATTTTTTTTACAGCAATATGTAAAAAAAACTGGCACAGAAGCACTTTATTTGCGTAAAAATACAGTACTCAAACCTGTATTGTATTTATGTAAAACCTCTGTAAGACTTCTGCTTCTAGTGAGATGGGATATAGCATCAGACCAATACTCCCACTGAGAACAATTAGACAAACTGGATCAATCAGAAAAATAATATAAGAGATCGGCCCAAACAATGAGGAACAGAGGAAGTGCAACTGAGGAAATGCAAGAACTTTTCAAATGTTATCTGAGGAGGGACTCCGGCAAGATGGCGCTCTAGGCAGAAGCACCACACCGTCCCTCCACAACAAAGATCCGAAAAACTAAGCCAAACAGAGAATCAACAATCCTGAAACCCTAGAACATCAAATGAAGAGATAAAGAACTC